TTCAATGTACAGAATATTCCTCCGGTGGGGCAATCCACGTATTTGCGAATCCATGTATGCTAAACCCGCGTATGTGAAGGGCTGACTGTACCTGTATACCATATAAAAGTAGAATGTCGATATAACACGAGATAGGTTCCAAGAGAGGTCGCTTTAAACCCAATTTGCACGAAATTGAAGTGTTGTTTCAATGGAATAATTTAGTTTGGTACTTGAGAGAAACACAAAATACTAAAAAGACAAAGTCTACCTAGATGCACCTCAGCCCCATCTCCTAAAATAAACAAAACATTGTTTTTTATTGTATTTTGTAGTATTATGTTAAAACAAACACTCATAAATCAACACAGCTAAAATTAAGGGATGTTTAAATGGTCTGTTTACTGGAGGGGGGGAGGTGAGGTGATATGTTTGACAGTTGATGCCAAGGTCTAGTGCTTATTTATTTATCTGTCCTTAAGAGTGACTAAGTTTTTCTCTTATATAATGTCACTGAACTGACATGGGAGAATATAATTAACATTGCTGGAATTCTTATAAGATAGTGATTAATTTGAATATAAACATGCAAAAGCTTGCATTAGACATACAAATTTTAGTTCTAATTCAAGAATTTTATTGTAGATAGCAAAATTTTTTATCTTTTGTGTAAAATATATGACGTTTATATTCAATTATTCGCTGTCTTGCAAGGTTTCCAGCAATACAAATTATATCCTCCTAACTTTAGTCTGTGATATTATTTAAGATAAAGACTTTAAGCCTAAAACACCAAACCCTGGCTGGGAAGATGGAGGGGGGGGGGGTTGACAGTGACATGTTTGACAGTTGGCGCCGAAGGTCTGGTGAAGTACAGTATTTATTTGTTTATTTGTGTCCTTTAGCTTGAGTTTATGTTTTTTGCCTATAAAATGACACAGAAGTAACTGGGGAGAATATAATTTACATTGCTGGAATTCTTATAAGACAGTGATTAATTTGAATATAAACATGCTTTAAACGCCTTGGGAATAAGGACGTTCAGGTGACGGGCAATTCAAAGGGAATGATTGAAACCCGCCTGTTGACGCATTCAATATTTATTGATGTGGTCAAAACCTGCAGAGAACAAGGTGTTCATTAGTATTACATGGTGATCTATCTGATACATAATTAGTTAGTCTCACACAATTTGTCTTAATTATAATTGATTATTGATCATAGTGACATGATACAAAGTTCATAACTCTATTAATCTTAGCTTTGCTTCATTCTGCATTGTCTTATTACTCCAAGTTAGGCAGAAACGAGTAGACGTAATTAGTCAACAATATTTCAGTACCGAGGGGTATGTCTTCACTTATGCTGTTCTTACAAGTGCAGGTCAATGCAGATCAGTATGGTGTTCCAAGAGACAACAGTACTGTGTAAATTGTCTCAGCACAAATTCTTGGACAGGATTGTGTGGTGTTTATCAGTGCGAGCAGGAGGCTGCTCATTACAGCATCACTCGAGGGCTGGTCCTCACAGCATCACTCGAGTAAGCGATCTCCTGAAGTCCAGGCAGCCACGCTACCCTTTTAAGCCATTCATTTAGCGGAATCAGGACCTCTTCTCCGTAAACACCGCCCACCCCCCAATCTTTGTTCGTGTAGGGCAGCAAACGCCAGCATTCACACGCCAATACTCACTCGTCAGTACTGACACCAGCGGTGATAACACTCCCGGTGTGCCAGGCGTCAACACTGCTTGGCGCATCTGGCGAGGTCACAGGTCGCTTGGGAGGGGGAGCATCACTTGAGAGGGCGATCTGTGTCATGAGAGCCACGCCACCCTTTACATTCAGCAGAATCAGGAACTCTTTATCCGCAAACACCGCCCCCCCCTCCCCCAGCCGCCACATCTCACGAGGCAACAGGCCGTGTGGGTGGTGGTGGGGGGTGAGAGATCCAATGATTGTTCGAGGTGGGCAGCGATCGTCAACAACTGACACCAGCATTTATAAGCCAGCGGCGATAACACATGCTATAGTTTACACGAGACAAAAATTTTAGTAATCATTTAGTACATTATTTTGAGTACATGTACAGTACAGCTTTGCCCTTAGGACAGTGTAGCGTGCCCAGAGAAACATTAGGCGCAAATTTTTAAATATGATGCGTCAGATTGACTCGCTCAAAATAGGAAAGATTCGCTTTAAATTAAAACATTGTCCTTAATTGTGGGTGTCGCTTTAAATCAATAATCTTAAATTGAATCGCTTTAAATCGACGTTCTACTGTAGTATAATTTCAGGAAATTCATTTTTTTAAGTTATAATTGTTGCAGGATAGGTTAAGTTCTTGATTCTAGTTACTTTCAGAGGCATGGATGGCCTTGTGCAGTGTGAATTAAAGTGGTTGATGTGAATGTATACAGTACCTGTATACCATATAAACTTGAGTACAATTCTAGTATTATGATCAAATTTTTATGCAAAAAATAAGGGGTCAAACTATACATTATACCCATATTATTTTGGGGGTTAAAATTAATTAATTTTCCTGTACTTGCGGTAAGCTCCTTCATCCTGGGGTTGCGTACCATACCCCTAGATTCTTTCTTTATGTTGATGCCTGAAGAGCAGAACTTCATTCACATTCTATGCTGCTTTAAATCTACAAATACCTGATACAAATGAAGATTGACAGATAATAATCTTTTCATTTGTGGCATTGTAGATATATGTAACTTTCTTCATCTTTTTTACTCAGTTATATGCACACACAATCCTACATACATATTGTGAAAAAAAAAATATAATTACCATAAAGTCAGAGACGTAAAGGGAATAAACATTTCTTTGCACATGTGAGCAGTGGACGGGGAGAAGGGAGCAGAGAAGGGGGTGGTACGCAGAAGCAGCGTCCATGCAAATGGCAGTTGTGTTAAACTTTCATTTAGGTTTTCCGAAATGGTTTTAGCTGTATTTTTTAGTCTAGATTGTATATAGATGTTGTTTGAAGTAGCACAATTGTTAATAACAGAATGGTTGGTGGTATGGTTTATAAATGCTGGAAAAGGAGGTAGAGAGAGAGTTGTGAGTTTGCTTCAGCCTTAATTTGACTTACTGTGTAGGCCGTTACTTTATGTTTGTGATAATATTTAAAAAAAATGTTGCTATAGGTTTACTTGTTTTTCAGTATTTTATATAAGTTTTGTGCAGTACTGTATTTGTAATACTAACACCAGACTAATCACTATAGCCATTTCCCCCCCTAGCACTCCAGGCCAAGCTGTCATATACTGTATGTTATAGTTATTTTTAAACTTGTAATTTTGGGTAGATATATTTAATTTTCTTCATATTTCACTGTTAAATGCACACAATATTACATACAGAATATGTAAAACAAATTAATTATCGTTAGGTCAAAAACATAAAAGGGAATAAACTTTTTTTGTGTGTTAAGAGTTCATGCTGTGCTGGGGAGTGGTGGATCTCAACTGTTCTGAGCTGCTCTTGTGTGTAGTGAAGGGAAAGACAAATTTCAATGTCCAGTAGCCAAGTGGCAATATTGTACAGTATTTTTTATTTATTGGTATAATTTTACCTGACATTCATTGGTTATTATTATTTTATCTCATTTCTCATAGAATTTGGTAACTGGAGGGAATTAGTCTCAGAGATGGTAACATGTTTGTAGTGTCGGCTGCTGTGGTGGTCACTGCTGAGAATCGTTGGTTTTGTCTTGCTACACATTATGTCTAGTATTATACAATACATAGTATTTATAAAAAGCTATGGTCGATTTATAGGTTTATATAACAATGAGTAAAAGGGAATAGGTTCCACTCCTTTTTTATTTTGTATTGTTGTATTGCGGGCTGGGCTGGCAGGACCATATAGTCCCAGCCCTATCGCTCCACAACAATAACAATGACCCACAAATTACCAAGATATGTTTATGGATTTTAAATAATATTCTCAAGATTTGTGTTGTTATTCGGACGTGTCATTACTCAGGTGTCCGGTACTCTGGGTGTTTACTGTATCTTCCATATTTCTGCATTTTGTTTTCTCTGCATCCCATCTAACTCACATTATGCCTCATTCTTATTCCTTTTTTTATCACTTTAATTTTTTCCTTTGAATTGCATTGAGTCTATGTTTCACACCCATGTATTAATGTGAACTCAGTTTTTATTTCTCCTGTACCTCTGTCTTAACCACCTTTGCTTTGGTTTTAACTGTCCATATATTTCTCAATCCTTAAATTACAGTACGGTACTTTCTTGCCTTCCCCTACTCAGTGATGTAATTCATCACTCATTGTTCCATTTGCTGACACATCCACTAAGAGATAGTTGAAACACCCATTTGCTCCACACTATCTCCAATCAAGATAATATTTCTTTCTCCATGTCCTTCACTTTTGTATTTATTTTTATAACTTTATTTTTGTTAATAGTCACTATCAACATACTTGTAGTATACAGAACACTATCTTCCAAGCTATTTAGTCATGCATGTAACTTTACTTTTGAAATGTTCACTAGTATATTGTCATTTGTAGACAGCATCTGGGACATGTTGAAATTACAAATTTTTTATGTAATCCTCCTTTGTTGGTACCCAGTTTGCCACTTCCTGACAAACTCATACACAAACTGATTGCTCCCCCAAAAAACTGAATACGTCAATCAGCAATTTTCCATATACTCCTTCAGTGTTTCCTCCAGGGGGGGGATAAGATGGTAATCAGTTTCCCCCTCCAAGTGACTGCAAAAGGATTGGAGACATGTCCTCCCTGCACACTTATGAGAGAGTTTTAAAAAATTATGCTTAGCATATTTTACCCAAAGAAAATGTTGAAACGAATTGCTTGACTAAATATCAAAATGTATGAGAGATTTTGCATGCACTACAGTGAGGAGGAAAAAGTAGACATCCCAGTTATAGATTAATTGTAAAGCAACATTGAATTAATTTTTTAACTATGATGATGCTTCAGATCTCTTATGCACAAGTTTTTCTTCAGGGAGGATATGTATGCACAAGACAGTATAGACCTACTGCAAAATTCTGGACTACAGTTCAAAAAACACGAAGAAGATGGAATAGAACCTGTTAACTTTGCTGAGCTTCTAATGACATCTGGCATTGTATTATTTGATAATATCAAGATGCTCTCCTTCCACAGGTAATTAGGTTTAATGAAAATATTACCTATGTAGCACAAGTTATCAAGAGCAACTTTCAGATGCCTATTAAATATGGAGTTGCACTTCCAAATTTTCTGGTCATCTCTAATTAACTTAAATTCTTTTAAAATTTATTTCAGAAATTTGTTTAATTATATTTTTGTTACCTGTTTTCACCTCTTTATGTAAAGAAATTAAGACAGATTAAACAATAGGTAGAGTTCTCTAATATACACAGTATATGCTACTGTACTAATTTTACATAAATATCTTACCAGAAGAGATGGGAGATATTTTTTTTCAATCAGTGTACTTTGGTAATAAATAATTTGTTATATTGAAATGGGAAAGTACTGTATATTAAGTTGGTAGAAATACAGTCAGACCCCATTTATTGAAGCCTCATCTGATGTATAACAGACATGGGAAGGTACTAATTTAATAAATTTACTGTACAGTAATAGTACAGTACTGTAATTGTCATTAGAAAGTAAAAAAATAAGAAAAATCCATCAAATGTAAAAGAACCAATTAATATTTTTGCTGCCATCTTTATTTATAGTATGGGCACCATGTTATACTGACTTCTTTTAACACTCCCTAAGAATGTATCTTGTTCATTATAAGAGGTCTGATTTTATATTGATTTACTGTATATGAGTGAATGTGTGCCAGTATGTAGGGCAAGTTTTTAAAACAGTTGAAATTAATGTCGATAGATGATAAGAGATGGTTATATTATTAATTGGTTGTTTGAATCAGGATTGGTCTATTATTTGAATAGGAGGGTTGTACTGTAACTTTAATTGGTTAATTGATTAGGTGATGTTCATAGTATACTATAATCTATATTTTACCTAAGGTAGTTTAAGCTTCATTGACTGTTGGAGAAGGGCTTCATATGGGACATGACTCTTAATAAAATGTTGTGGTAGAGAATACATGTTAATTTGGTTTGGTTTTCTTTTATTCTACAGTGGGTATGACTTCGGCTACCTGTTAAAATTGCTAACAGATCAGAACCTACCGCCAGAGGAAAGTGATTTTTTTGATCTTCTAAGACTCTACTTCCCTTCTATTTATGATGTAAAGGTAAGGAAAAAATAAAAAAAATTAATGCACTCTGTATTGTGTCAAGCTTTCAATTTTCTGATTATCAGCCTGTATTCTACTCACATTAAGGTGGGGGATGTAACAGTTACATTAAACATCATAAGAATGTGAAAATGATTAATTTACTGAAAAAAGGTTATAGAAATGTTAATGAACTTAAAAAAACCCATAAAACCATTTATCCTCAGCCCATGTTGGTACTGTATAACTTGAATGTTGAAAATAATTAATTGTACTTTGGACACTTCATATATTCCCCTATTTGTACTTTATTTCTGTTATTTAAAATCTCAGGTTGGTTTTGATACCAATACTGCACACTGTATACATGACACTGTTAGACTACAACAGCTTGGTTACTTATTCAGTCCATCTTTTGCACTGTCTCCCTCTTTATTTATATTACCATGGCCATACCATGTTGGAAACACCTCTTCTCCAATCAGCAAAGTTAAGCAATGTTGGGCCAGGGTAGTACATGGATGGGAGACCACTTGGGAACACCAGATGCTGTTGGTATGAGGACCCTATTGGAAATAAGCATCTCATGGCTTTGTTGGCTATCCTTGGTCAAATATACTAAATATCAGCTACTGTAATGTACATAATTATTATTATTATTAATATTAATATTATTAATATTAATATTATTAATATTAATATTATTAATATTAATATTATTAATATTATTATTAATTGTAAATCTCTTCTGTGAATTTACCTTTTATTATATGTAAACAATTTTATACCATCTAAATTTTCTGTATTTTCACCTATGCTTACTCCCCTGTAGGTTTTTTCACATCTTCATGTTTGTCAGTTCTGTTCATTTCATATTGCTGGATTGGCAAAGTTTATAATTTATTGAGATATCAGTATGCAGTATTATAGAAATTATGCAAATTGATGGGGTCAACAATGAATGCTGTGTAAGAGACATGTGTGGTTTCATGTGAAGAAGATCTTATAAAGATTTTTGTCATGGGTCTCCTCTATGCTGAATAGAATTGTCTGGCATTAGCCAAATAGAACGGTAAAAGTAACATCACCTGAGTGAATGAGATAAGGTGACATGGACATTTGGAAGACAGGATGGACAACTTGTAATTGGAGAAGGAATACAGTACAGGTATTCCCTGATTTACAAAAGGGTTCATTTCCTCCCCAAAAATTCATAAATTGATATTATGTACAGTATATTGGCTCACATTCTCCCACAGCATCCCATAATAAGAGCTGAGATATGTAGGTAAAAAAAAAATTTTTTAAGGAAAATCTTTGATGTACACCCACTAAAAAGTTATTCGGCACCTGTTTCATATTGTATCACGCTGTAAGGGTGTTGAATAATTTTTTAGTGGGTGTTCATGTATGTATCGTGCATGTGTGTGTGTGTGTGTACAAGAGGCATGTACACCCACAAAAAAAATATTTGACACCCTTACCGCGTGATGCAATATGACAAAGGTGCCGAATAATTTTTTTGTGGGTGTACCCTGATTATAAACCAATAATTACATAGCAAGTGAATAGATGCAATACAGTAATAATTTTATACCTGTACTTTTGAGAAACTGGGTGATATTTGAAAAAGTGAACAGTATGAAACACTAAGTCAATATCTAAAATAAATATGTTACTGTAGCAATATATCGATTTCCATTCTATAATTGGAGATATGTTCTCTACAAAAAATGCCATGCTAGGCCTGTGATGATGAGTTATTGTGTTATCCTGAATTCTTGATGCTTTGTTTACATGGCATAATACCCTGCCATCAGTCATCTGACACTACTGTACTACTACTACTACTTTGCTGTCACTTGGAATCGAGTATGATGATCATCCAGCTATGATAAATTGATACGAGTTATTAAGGATGTCACCTTCGTTGGTGAGCTCTGAGGTAACTAGAGAGGCCGATACGGGACCGGCAGGGTCGTCCACAGATGTTGCACGTGTGGAGGACTACATCTAGTATGGGAGGGGCAGCGTCTTTCCGGCGTTGGCTCTTGTCTGCCTCGGTATGTAGTCGGACTAACTCAAACGTATTGACACCTTCTTGTGCGGTGCTCCTCCAAGCATTACAATGTGGAGTAATTGTCTCCCAGGTGAGGGGGTCGATTTGACACTTTTTCAGGATTGTTTTATGACTATCCTTATACTCTTTCAATTGCCCGCCAGCATTACGCTTGCTATTTGTTAGGTGACTGTAAAGTATTTACTTTGGCAGTCTACATCTATGGGGGTAACATGGCCAGTCCAACTTGCGTTACGACCCTTGGGTAGATTGTTACATAAACACAAATCACTGAAGTCTTTCAAATACAGGGGGGTATATCAGTACTATTTATTATATTTTTAATCCCCAGTTCCCCCAACAAGGGTCAAATTAACAGGTCAAAACCTAAACAAGTCAATAAATATATGAACATTTAATAGCTTATTCCCACCACCACATATGTACACAAAATGAAATAAATAACAACAATAATAATATGATTTTTAGAAGTGGCTGAGTAAGGACTGAAGGTCCATCAGGATCACAAAAAATCAATATCAAGCAGTAACAAATCTCAGTAGTCAAAATGCCAACTCCAAAAACACCAGAGAGAGGGTATACTCAACTTAGACAGCTGTGCGGAGACTGACTACAGTGGACCAGCCTGCAACAGACGACACCTCTCTTCCACCATAGTACAGCTCCTCCCCGACTTACGACGGGGTTAGGGACCCAAATCCAGGTCGTAAGTCGAAAATGCTTAAATAATACATAGAAAATCTAAAATGGGTGTCTCTTTTTCTTCTCAGCACCACAAAACTCACTTTTAAGCTTGCCAGCCATTTTAAAGTGAATTACAAACAAAAATTTTGTCAGTACACAGCGCAATCACTGACATTGGGACTCAAAAGTACGTAATTTGACAATTTTGGTATGACTCGGGCGGTCGTATGTCGGGGAGGAGCTGTACTGACGTATCGTAGCTGGATTGGCCAATACTTAAGCTTTACCCAAATGACCCAACTGACATTAGTTCCACTGTCTTGCCTATATACAAACATATTATTATTAATATCACATGAGAGACAACTGTTACATCAATAAATATACACAAAGTGATAATGTAGTAAAATAAATTTAATACATGAACGAGGGCTCAGTCGGCGTGAGCGAGTAATGAGAGAAGCTGCCCGAGCCACTCACACACTATCCGAACCAATGTATTTTATACCCAGAACAGAAACTTATGGCGGACACTCGTAACACATAGTTGCACATGGATAATGGTAGCCTCGGTGCTCCTACAGTTGTTGTCAGTGAAAATACTGGCATTTGTTCTTGTGTCTTCCCAACGAACTCGGAGGATGGAACGTAGACTACGTTGGTGAAAGTTTTCAGGTGCCTTGAGGTGCCTCCTGTATGTGACCCTTGTCTTGCTGCCTTACAGCTCAATATACAGTATGTGACACTTTGTAGATAATTTCAGCGATCTACAGCTGAAGACACGGGAATGGAGTCTGCCAAAGGCTTGAGATGCAAATCTGATCTGATGTTGAATCTCTTCATTGATGTCTGTGGTGATGAACAGGTTGGAGCTGAGATACTGAAAGTGGGTAACATTAGAGAGGGTAGTATCGTTAAGCTGGATGGATGGTGGAGTTGTGGTTGAACCAGGGGCAGGCTGAAAGAGAATCTAAGTCTTACGTACATTCACCTCAAGGCCGAAGTGTGCATACGTGTTGCGTAAGTGTTCAGGATCTCCTGTAGATTGCGTTCAGTAATGGAAGTTGCCGACACCTTTGTTCCTGCCTGGAGTTGTCTTTTGTTGAAAAGACCCTTCATCCAGTACTGGATGTCCACCCTGCCTGCTACATTTGCACTGGCATGTGTAAGGAAGGCAGCCAAGAAAATGAGAAAGAGAGTTGATGCCAGTACACATCCTTGTTTTACCCCTGTTTGAATGGGGGAAGAACTCAGACTGGGTGCCATTGTGCAGGACACTGCTGTTCATGCCATCCTGGAGTTCCCCCCCTGCTGGCAATGAATTTTGGTGGGCAGCCAAAATGGCTGAGGGTCTGCCAGAGGGCTTCCCTGTTCACCGAGTTGAAGGCCTTGGTTAGGTCAATAAAGGCCATGTACAGGTCACGACTGGGGGCTGTTCTGCCAGTCAGTTAAAGTAGCCCATTTATCATTGATGAGTACATTGATTTCTGGGTCGTTTTCATCAAACCGGTGCGGTTGTCCAGTCAGGTTGGTTCTTTAGGCAGGCTATGTTTAGGCCACCTTTTCTGGTCCCCTGCCCATGTGAGATGAGCAGAGTGTCTCTTCAAAAGGGCTGCTCAGTCGCACAGATGGGACCGGATTGCCCTGCTGCCTAGATCCCAGTGCATAAACGACCATCTTATCTATGCAGCCCATATGCAAAGTTGTGATTAGAGACTCCTGGCATCATCTCTGCCTGTCCCCGTCACCACTCGTCCGTGGTAGAGGGGTTTTGATGATAAGAAGTATGATTAGCTAGATGATGGCTACATGTGAATTGCTTTATGTGGCAAGGCAGGAGCACAGGCTGCAACCACACATCTTAGCTCTCCCTTTTCCTGATCCATTATTGCAAGTGTTGCAACGACTGGGAAGAGGGGGAGGTACAATGGACTGCCGATAGTTTGTTGGGTTTCGCCTTAGTAGCCTGTCCATCGTGCATTGCCTTTGTCTGCCAGTGTAGTCGTTGGGTTCCCATGGTGGTCACCTCTTCTGCCTATACTGCTGCTGGGGTCTTGTTGGAGTGCTGTAAGCATGTCTGCCTGATGTGGGGCTCCACCACAGATTTTTCGTTCGGGGTTTACCCCCGTAGTCTTATGCCTACCAAGGTTAATCCACAAGGCAGCGGGGCAGTGGTTAGTAGGCGCCAGGAGGTGTCTATATGCCAGTGGGCCTATGCGCTATCCCTCTGGGGGCCCACTGCTGCCCCGAGATC